ATAATAAAGATGAGATGATAGAGAATTTAAGATGGAGGACCAAAGCTCTCTCAGATGTCACACCCAACCTAAGTCTCCAGATAAGACTTGACTCTATTTTTTCCAAGGAATCCAGGAATGGAAGTGCAAGAGACAACCACAAGGAATCAGTAGTTACCTAAATTATTTCCTTGATTAGTGTGTGGGCTGAGATTTGGACAGTTTTTCTGACCCTAAAATAATCCAGCCTTGTGGAATCATAGAACAGGAGAGCGGGAAGGATCTTAGAAAACATCTTGTTCTATCTTCTCTTTTTAATGGCTTGGGATTGAATCTGAGATAAGGGAAGCACCTTATTTCAGATATTTAAATACCTTCCTCTGCTGCCATGGTACCTAGTGCTTACTCTTTTCACAGCACTTAGCATGAGTTGAATTTTCATTGCCAGTGAATACATCTGCTCCTCCTCTAAACTTGAATTCCATTGGAAGCAGAAACTGTCTTGCTCCTTTATTCACTGGTGTCTAGCAGAGTCTGTCATAAAGCAGGTGGTCAGAGGTATGTTGAAGAAATCAAAGTTTCAAATGAAACAGTGAGATTAGCTTTCCATTAGACAAAGGATATACAGACATAATCTCATTTTATTGTCATTCACTATATTGCAGTTCATACTTGTAAATGTTGTGTGTTTTACAAATTGAAGACAAGACCCTCCACCAGCAAAAAAAGACTATGACTCACTTCTTTTTTTTGCAGTGGTTTGGAACTGAACCTGCAATATCTTTGAGGTATGCCTGCAGTATCTTGTTTTCATTACCTTTAAGAGGATAGCAGTTTCCTTCCAACAAATCAGATGATTTCTACCTCTATTTTGCCTATTTGCAAAGTATCAAATTGGAAAAGTATGAGGCTCAATGTATGGTATAGATCCCCTACCCAAGCTTCACGAGTTGACATTTCTTTCTGTTTATACAAGTGCCCTTATCCCAAGCCTGAAACAAACAGAAACCTCATGAAGAGAAGTATTTTCTCTTTTGTATTATAAATCTTAAAATTTCATATTTTTTGTTGCCTCAATATCCCTGAAAATAGGCTATGAGTACTTTACCTTGGTGACCAGATACACCTGTGTGATAAGATCCCCTTCTTGCCTTCCCCTAACTGGGATCTAATGACATTCAAATGTACCAATGAAATCCTCTCACACCTTTTGCTTCTGTACTCTATCCTGATCTCAATAAAGATATTTGCCCATGGGGTACTCTTCTCCTTCTCTTCCCTCCTCCTCCTCCTCTTCCTCCTCCTCCTCCTCCTCCTCCTCCTCCTCCTCCTCCTCCTCCTTCTCCTTCTTCTTCTTCTTCTTCTTCTTCTTCTTCTTCTTCTTCTTCTTCTTCTTCTTCTTCTTCTTCTTCTCTCTCCCTCCTCTCTTCCTTTCCTTCCCACTTGCTTGGTTGGCCCCACTCCCCCGGTACTCCCTCCATATGGCCCCCTTTGTGGAATAGGGTGACTGTTTCTCTAGGACCTGTAAATATAATGAAATTTGTTTTCTTGTACTTCTCCTGAATCCTCTCTTGTGGTCTGGATAATCACTTCATGAAAGAATACAAGACAATTTCATAATAATAACTGCAATGAATTCTTTTATTGCTGTTTAAAGTGTGTCATAGAGTGCATTTAAAAGTACAAACCATGGGTCCTAAGACTAGCAGATAATTCTGACTCCAGTAGGGATATCTCTTAACTACAGGGGGAGAGCTAGATTTGGGGTTTTGTTGGCAACTTCTGGTGGCTATGATGCTGCTAGTACAATCTGTAGCTCCTCACTGGAAAACCAAAAATGAAATTCAAAAAGTGAATTTCTGTGATGAGGGATTAATTGCAAAAGAATTTGCATGTATTATACAGCCTTTTTTTTTTTTTTTTTACCAACAGCAATATGCCTGGTCCACTAAAGTGTCCCTGATGGCTCAGATGGGACTAGTCCAATTCTGCCAACAACTGCCACTGACAGCTAAAAGCTGGAAGAGTGGCAGCAGATGAAAGAAAGGGGGAAAGGTAGTAGGCAAAAGAGACTGAAAAAGGGATGGGTGCCATTTACAGTGATTAATTCAATTGAGAATTTTCAAGTGCATAGGCACTGAAATGCCTTTCTTCCTCTCATCTTTTGTTCTCACCCACCCCATTAGTCTTCAAGCCAAATTACAGTGAAGATGCATACAATTTTTTTGTCCACCACTTCTCATGGCTGGCTAAGCATAAATAGGTACCTTCAGAAGTGAAGTATACTGAAAGCCACCTGCCTCCATCCAAAATACAGTATCTACCTACCAGATATCAAAAGTGAAAATCCTTATTAAAGTTATTCTTTTGGGTTAAAGCATTGAATGTTCCTATTAAAATGCAACTAGGTTGCCCTGGCCAGGTAACTCAGTTGGTCAGAGTTGTCCTGCTATACTAAGGTTGCAGGTTAGATTCCCAGTCAGGGCACATACCAGAATCCACCAATGAATGCATAAATAAATGAAACAACAAATAACAAATCTCTCTCTCTCTCTCTCTCTCTCTCCCTAAGATCAATTAAAATCAAACAAATAAAAAAGCATGATTTAAAAAGTAAATAAATAAAATGCAAATATATTATCTAAAAGTACAGATTCTTAGAAACATCAAACAGGCCATCAAACCTCAGAGGGAAGGCAGGGGAGGATAGGAGGGGGTAGGAGATCAGTCAAAAGATTTGTATAAAATGGACACATACAATAATGGGGGTGAGTGCTGGTTGAGAGAAGTCAATAGAGCGACTGGAAGAGACATATGTAATACTTTCAGCAATAAACAATTTTTTAAAAAATAAAAAATTAAAGTACAGGTTCTCTAAATGTGTCATTTTTAATATTAAATTGTCACTGTCCATAGTTAAAACCTTAGTAAAGATTTATCTACCAGATTCTCTACTATCTCCTGGGGCTCTTGGGAAGCTTCAATGGGAAGATTTTGATGTGGAACACTAGTAAAGATTGGTAGCAGAGTCTGAGGTTTGGGTGATGGTGGAGAAAGAGGAGGCTGACAGCATGAGGAACTTTTTTTGGGGGGAAGCACATTTAAAAGGTGAGAAAGAGGGAAGGAAGTTGGGAAATTAACATTTATTGATTCTTCTGTGAGTGAGGCACTGAATTAGATGCTTTCCCATCTACTATCTTATTTAATACTTATTTAATCCATAATTACTTTATAGAGAAAGAATTATTAATACTCCCATATTGCAGATGAGAAAACTGGGGTTCAGATTAAGAAAGTCACTCAAGGTTACACTCTGCCATATGTGAGAGAATATAGACTTGAACTTGGATCTGTTTCCTAGGTCTATGTTCCTGAACCATGCTATCTCACTCCTCACATTTGTTAAGAGGTGACCAACCCATTTTCTGCTACCCTCTTTGCCCCCAATGCTCTAACCACTTGTAAGTTCAGTCTTCTATGACTCCCAGGTTTCTCCCACATTCCTAGCCATGGACTAGCAAATGTGGACATGATTTTTATATGTGATGAGGTAGGAAGAGATTTTGCATTATCAAATGGATAGAAAATTGGAAAGAGCCTAGAACCATTTTTCTAGTTGCCCAAGGATATGGAAACTTTCTGTTCCAGACTCCAACCTATGTCATGCCCAAATCCAAAATTGTGCCCCTGGGCCCTGTCCCATGTTTCCTGCCCCATGTGTTACAGTTTGCTGTACACTGGCAGCATGTGCATGTAAACCAGGAGGAGAGGATATGAAAAAGAGAATAGCTGGTATGGGGAAAGATTAAAACTGTCACTTCCAGAATAGCTGATGTGGGAAGACAAAAAGGCTGCTTTTTTTCTCACCACTGGAGAAAGGGACTAGGAAGAGGAGTCTATACACCAAGAGGTCCATCCACAAGATGATATAGGGAACCACCCCCCCTCAACTGAGATCCAGCTGCACTGCCTGACTTAGAAGGGTCTTTCCTGCCCTAGAGCAGAGAGTACAAGAACAGCGGGGAGGGGGAGGGAGACGGGATTTATAGCCTCTGGAGTCATTAGTCAGGGGCTATGTTCAGAAGCAACACCAAGGGAACAAGGCAGCTAAAGACAATTTTCTTAACCTTAACTTTCAATCCCTACCCGATCCCAGCTCATTCCCACATCTTTCTCCTCCTTCCTCAATAGGATTGAGCGTCCTTTTCATTAACCTTTTAGTTACCACATCCGGGCACATACTTTTTTCTACGTCCTCTAAAGGAGTCAGCCCCATACTGCCCATCACTGCCCCCTTCCGCCTCCAAGGCTGGCTCTGCACTTGGGAGGGGAGGCACTGGCCTCACAAAGCTGTGGGCTTTGGGGGCTGTTCACTAGCCCTGGGATCTCTGCTGTAAAAATTGAGCGGTAGGGACCGGGCATGCGCAGCATCTTTGGGCGCATTGTGATGGGAACCGCTTCTCCAAATCTTACAAAGACTCCCGAGTAACCACTAACCGCACCCCAGGACCCCCTTCTTTAAGACATGAGTACAAACGCAGAGACAATGCAGCGTTCAATGCAGCTTTTCCTTCTTCCTTTCTTTTTTTAAAGGGCCAGTTGCAGCTTGATTGGCTGGTGCACATGAGGACTAGTGTATTTCTATTGATCCTATCTCCCATGTTGACAAACGCCAATGCCAAGGCTTTTGCAGTCCGGGGCTGCAGTTTGCAGTAGAGCTAAGCGGTGTGCGGCTTTAATTCCACGTCAGATCAACTTTGATCGATATCCCCCTACTGGCCCAATTGGAAGAGCCCAATTCACAGGCGCTGAGCCTTTTTCCTCTTTCCTTCTTTTTCCCCCTCTTTACACCCACCATCTTCTAGGGGAGAAAAGTCTTGGGTTTTCTGTATAATTTTTTTTCTGTCTCTCTCTTTTGTGTTTTTTTTTTGTTTGTTTGTTTTTTGGTGTTTTATCTTTTTTTGTTTTGTGTTGTATTTTAGGTTATTCTCTCTCTTCTCTCTTCTCTCTCTCTCTCTCTCTCTCTCTCTCTCTCTCTCTCTCTCTCTCTCTCTCTCTCTCTCTCTCTCTCTCTCTCTGAGAGAAAGATCTCTTTGGCTAACGGAGCTTGCAGCCAGTGAACCCGCCTTCCACGTTGGTGTGAAGACAGAAGTGAGGTGGGGGGCAGGGAGGGGGTGTGAGAGAATCTAAGAGCCAGAGGGAGCAGAGAGAGAGAGAGAGAAAGAGAGAGAGAGAGAGAGAGAGAGAGAGAGCGCTCGAGAGAGGAAGAGAGGAGGTGGTGGAGGAGGAGGACTAGTGTAGGGTGGAAAGGAAGAGTGAGCGCGAGCAAGTTGAAGGGAGGGGGTATAAGAGCCAGCGAATTCTTTTTCTTTTCCTGTTATTATTTTGACGACTCCCGAGTTGCGCCCATGCTCTTGTCAGCTTCGTTTTAGGCGTAGCATGGCCAGGCAGAAGAAAATGGGGCAAAGCGTGCTCCAGGCGGTCTTCTTTTTAGTCCTGGGGCTTTTGGGTCATTCTCACGGAGGATTCCCCAACACCATCAGCATAGGTAAGCGCGAGCGAGCCAGCCGGTTGGGCCGGGTTCTTCTGCACAGGAGACCAATGCCCTGGCATGGCTATTGCGGCCACGGGTCCCCGTCCTGCAATGCCTGGGGAGGGGGATTGGGAACAGAGACCAGACCAGGCAGGAATCCCGGAGATTTGAGCCCCAGAGAGCTGGCGGGTCTGGGGAGCATCAGGCACCAGAGAGGGGTCTCCCGGGGCTGGGGAGGGGAGTTGACTGCTGGGTTTTCCGAGATGTGGTGAACAGGGGAAGTATGCTGGATACTGCAAAGGGGCAAAGAGTCGCAGTTTTTAGGCTCGCTGTTCTAGACTTTGGCATGGCGTGCGTGCTGCCGCTGGAAGTTGTCCCAGGGTGATGCCGCCTGTCGGGGCCGCGTCAGGGCACATTACCCGGCTCAGGGCGCCCTGTCCGGCATCTCGATTCACCCCAGAAAGGCTAGTGCTGGGAGAGGTGGAAGCCCATTCTGGATCCCCAGACCCGGGCAGCTATCGGGGAATCTGGGTAGGTGGAGGATGCGGTAGGAGCCAGGGGTGAAACAAGGAACTGAGTAAGGAAGCAGCGAAGTCAGCCAGATCGGCAATTCATGAATTGCCGCTGTGTCTGTCTGGAGCCCAGTTCCCGGACGCTGGGAGGGAGTTTTTCTCATCTTCTGTCTGTATTTACAAGTCAAAAAGTTAAAATTGTTGCCATTATCAAACCAAACCCCTATATTGTAATGGTGGACCTGGGTGGCAATGGGGAACAGGATGGGGGCACCAGGGAGAATGAAATTGTTTTTCTTGCCAACCTTTCCCTTTATGCCAGAAAAACATTAACAAGCTTGTGGAGATGTGCATTGGAGAGGAGGGGGCAATGGAGAGGAAGCTACTGCCTGAGAAACAGTCAAGTCCCACTCCTGATTCCATCATCCTACCCCAAAGGAGCCCCCCTCTTCCCTCTTACCCCTTTTCCCCTTCTCTCCAGCCTCTCCTCCTCCTCTTCAGACTAGGGGAAAACCAGGTTTCTCTTGGCCAAAATTTGAGTTCACAAGAGTCTTGAAAGACACACTGGTTGAAAATCAATTATCTTCGCACCCCGATACCATTGAGAGGGATCTCCTATCTGCAGTGCTCTCTAATTTGTAACCTGTCCTGGGGGGGACACAAGCCAAATCTCGGTTCCCTGTGCTTATAGGTGGACTTTTCATGAGAAATACGGTGCAGGAGCACAGCGCTTTCCGCTTTGCCGTGCAGTTATACAACACCAACCAGAACACCACCGAGAAGCCCTTCCATTTGAATTACCACGTAGATCACTTGGATTCCTCCAATAGTTTTTCTGTGACTAATGCTTGTAAGTAGATCTGCTTTTCCTCCCTTTGGAACCTTTGGGACCTTACTTGCATTTTGCTCGTGGGACTTGGGGTCTGCATATGTGCTGGGAATGGGTGATCACCTCAATAGACATTTTAGGGGCTCTAATCAATCAAGGTTTCATGCGGCATAAACCAACTCCAGAGGATCCTGCTGAGGGAGGGACTTAAATCAGTGCATAAAACTCTCTCCTGAATCATGTTTGATGCAAAAGTTTCATTTTCTTCAGTGCTAAACCAGCAATTCCTCCCCCACATCTTTTTTTTTTTTCCAGAAAAAAAGGAAAGAAAAAATAGCATGGTTGTTCAGGGAAATTTCTTCAGATGGGATTAAAAAAAGAAGCCTCTTGATTGAGTCAATTCAGGATGTACATTACTTGACTGTTAAAGCTAGTGTCTGGCTGTTGAAATCAGCTGAATTTGACAATTGCCTAATAGATAGGAGCCAAATATGGGAAACTCTGCAAACAAGTGACCTTGAAGGACAGATCAGGCTTAATTCCCTGGCCTTTTTCTATCCTAGACTATCACCTTTCTTACCTAGAGAGTTCTGATAGGAACTGATAAGACTACAAACTGATTACAAGGGATGAACACCTGGAAAACTGAGGGGAAAGGAGAGGGCAGTGCTCAGGTGGCTACTTGGAAAACTGCTTCTGTTTTGTCTCCCCTAGTGTTGTTCACCCTGCCCACATATTGTTAAGGACAACACAGTTCTTAACTTAAAGCAAAAGGTGGAGGGGGGAGATTGCATCAGGCTAATAATATAAAAAAGGAGGAATTTCCTGAGCCCCAAAGCTATTTCTGAAATTCCTGTTTGTGCCATGGTAATTGTTCCTCTAGAAAGGGGACATTTTGAGGAGTAAAACCAAGGGAACCCAAATGACAGCCTGTTGGACACAGGTTTTTCTTGAATGGAATGTTTTATGAAAAAGACTGATAATTCTTTAAGCTTATTGCAGTAAAAGTTTTCACAACAATGAGGCTGATAATGACATATGTTTTGTTTTTATGGATTGTGTGGTTTAGAATTTTTGTTTTCTGGCTTTCATTCAAGGGAGAAATCATATTTATGTTTTGTTGTGTGAAACTTTATATATGACTGCGTTCAAATTCTTCTGCCTCAAAGGATATGTGATTTCCAAAAACTGTTGAGTCTCCAAGAGCACAGGTTCCTTGGATTTTCAAGACTTAGGTCAAGAGGATGGGGGTGAAATACATTGCAAAAAAATGACAGTATTCGCTTTAAGAAAATTTTAACTGAAGGTACAGATCTTTATATGAACATTTCTGTGATACTCTGTATTTGACATTCTTTGGCTTTCCGACATTGACAAAAATAGGAACTTATTAATTCCAGCTAAGTGTGAAAGTTACAAAATGTCTATCTATATTTTGCATCTTATTTCTGTGATCCCAGCCTGTCTCTACAGCACTTACAACACACAGCTGACTCTTAATCCTGCAGCACTGTGATCTTGCAAGAGGCTGAAGCTCAAATGCAGCTTCCTAAGTATCAATTAGAACAGATTTAAAACCAAATACTTGAAATCACCAGGATTTTTTTAATTATTAATAACAAATAACATTTGAACTCACTGGAAAGACTGATGAGGACTGAAATAAGAGTGTCAATTGACTTCTCAGAAATGATTGATTTCTAAGGTTTTTCATTCTGTGGGGTTTTTTTTGTTGTTGTTTTTGTTTTAATGCTCAAATCAGATCGACACCAGCCAGCTCAGGAACCTCACTCAAAGAGCAACCAGGAATGATCATTGCCTGATGTTCAGTTGCCTTAATGCCTTACCTTTCAGGGCAAGAAAAATAAATTGGTAAAAAAACGCCCCCTCCCCACCCACACACACCCTAAATTCACAGAACTTCTGCTAACAAGCTTACAAGGCTGGGTTATGGTTTGGGGCTTGAAAATGTGAGATAAGAGGTATGGATCACTGGGCAATAAGAAAGACTAAACAAAAAGGTGACCTTGCCCTTAGTTATGCCAGAAACACACATATGCATACACTGACACACACAGGAGAAATATCCAGAAACCAGTGATGTGTATGTACCCAGCTGCCTGTTGCACTCTCCAGCTTTACAGCCCAGAAGACAGAGGAGGAAAGCTTTCATCTTCTCTGGGCCCCGAAACAGTCCTCTCTGAATGTCACAGTCATTGAATGGGGGCCAGATCTCAAAGCTGTCTCCTGGCAGCTGCTGCCTAGAAGCTTAGTATAAGAAAGATCACTAGTCCCACCACAGTCTGATAGTCTCTGAATGCAGAAAACAATCATTTCACAAGGCCAGGAAGGCCCTAGAAGTATATTTCATATATTCCCCTGGTCTTGATTGTTCTTTTTCTTATGGAAGTAAAGATCACATTTATCAGGTGTCAGAATACAATACTAGTTCAGTACTGGGGTTTGGCAGGTGATCCCAGGTCCAATTCTTCCAATTGATTGCAATATTTCACAGAGGGAAAAAAAAACACAAAAAACTCTCTAGATTTTTTAGTCTGCCCCTTCCTGGAGACCTAGGGAAGATTTGAGAAAATCCCAGTTAAGTACAAATTGGTCACTCACCTCTCCTATCTGATTCAATGTGGAATGGGATGGCAAAAATTAAAGAAACTTTTCCCTGTTCTCATTTAGAATTCTTAGTTGTAGTTTTCCCTAGCACTAAAATTGATTTTCCCACGATCTTTCCTGTGCCCTCAATCTTGAGATAGGCATATACTTTTTTAGGACATAGTAACAAATACCCAAAATATAAACAAAGGGTAATACTTTATGCATGCCACTGCTCTCTGCTCTCCTTCTGCAATGTAATCTGAAGGTTTTATTGCAAGGAATCTAGGCATCAGTTATTTAAACACTCTTCTTCACCAGTAACCATTTTATGTTATGTTATTTTATATTTTATTATTTTATTTTATTTTATTTTATTTTATTTTATTTTATTTTATTTTATTTTATTTTATTTTATTTTTGCACAACCCCTGAAAGGTTTGCTTAAGAGAGACTCCAATTTCATTCTGTCTTAAGAAGGTAATAAAAGCCTCTCTGGCTTTGAAAGGTGGTTCATTTGGGATTTCGGCTCAGAGGTGAATTGAAGTTTATCAAAGAGACTCATCTGATTTGGAACCCATGTTCCCCTTTCATTGGGATTAATTGAGTTTGCTACCATACTTTTCAGTTTGGTCAGATAACCCCAGAAAGAGGGATGGTGTAAATATTATGGTTTCAAGACAAATACATTCATATACATACAGAGACACTCAAACACACAACATTACTATATATGAAAAGAGATGTACACACTTTTTTAAGTTACACGTTTGTTCTATAAACACACACACACACACACACACACACACACACACACACAAAAACCAAAAAAAAAACACAACACAGATTTGATCATCCTAGGGCTTTGTAAGATGTGAAAACACCAAGGGATTTTTGGGTCCCATTGGAGTGGCTTGATTCCTCAGGAAATGCCTTCAATTCCCTTGAAGTCCCCTCCTGTGTCTTGCTGCTGTGCACTTGTAGTGCACTCCACACTACATCGCCCCAGTCTCTGCAGTGTCAGCTCATTAGCACACAGATCTCATATTCCCTCTCCGCACTGTCATTGCAAAAATTGCTGTTGTACACCTTTACAGCCAACAAATGTGCTCTCGTGGATTACGCACTGTTTGCAAGAAGCAAGGAAAAGGCAAATGTAACCTTAAAGGTTATTCACCAAGGAATTGTGCTCTAAATGCATTGGCTTAAATAAAAATCTGTTGATGGAGGTGCAATTGATGGTGGGACTGAGAGTGAGACTTGGGAGTGTAGACTCTAATAGAGCCCCAGGCAAAATCCCTTTTGCTGGCTAACTCTAACTCATCAGCTGCATTATTTTACTTTATTTTTTCCTGAGCCATTTGAAATATACCTGCTAACTAGGAGCTTCTTTTATAACTGAGTGCATTTTGCTACCAAGTGTACTTAGCCTAGACATGTTTCTGTCTCCTGCTCACAGAGTCACAATCTAATTATCTAATTATTCTAATTGCCAAGATCCATTTAACCGTTTAGGTCCATTTGGGAAAGAAATGTCTCCCCTGATCCTATTTTCTGCTCTTTGGTGGGTTTTGTTTTGTTTTCCTGTTCATCCTTTTCATGTAATCTTTGGACCCAGGATGAAGACACACAGTACCACAGCTCCTGCCCTCAAACAGGTCTTCACATACTAACCAACATCAACTGCTCCAGCTTCACCTCCCACACCCAACCCCTCATCTTTGTGCCCTTGCTGCTCTCCATCTCTCCTCTGTCTGCAGGCCAAGCTTCAATAAACTCACTGGCTTAGCTCACTTCTCAGCCCCTCTGGCCAGCTGGCATAACCCACTGAAGCACCAAGAGGTAGCCTCAAGTGGTGCCAGTCAAAAATATAATTCACCTTCTCACAAGGTTTATTATGGATTTAAAAAATCTATTTTTTTATGTGTAGAGGAGGGAGGAAGGTGATGCTGTTCATTTGGGCCATAAAAATAGATGGCAATCAGCAGGTTGTAAAGGTGAATTTCCAACAAAGTGTATTACTTCCCCTACAAGTCAGCTTCCCTTTGATCTTTTAAGCAGGATGGGAGATACTGGAAAGGTTTGAGGGGAAGGAACAAAGAACACCATTTTGTTCTCTATCTATGCATACTGCAAAATGAGCCATGTTTTGTTTGTTTGTTTTATCTCAGCAATTTTAACCTTTTTCCTTTAAATGAAACTAATTTTCCACATTCCCCACTTCTGCCTTCATCAGAGGCTGTTTCCTTTAATGCTGAATTTCCCCCTACCCCCAATATTGAATGAGAATAATGGAGGCTGGTAGAGATTTTTATCATAAGTTTTTGGCTCCTAATATATTTTTAAATTTCATTATTATGGATAGTCGGAGGTGATAGGCTGGTCTCATTTTAACACATTAAAAATAAATAAAT